ATCAATCCGCTTCACCCAGGAATTTCTGCACAAGTCAAATTAAATTGAACTGTTGGAACTGTAAGCATCTTCTTGACAAAAGACCTGCATTTTTCTGCGTGTCATGCAAAGCAGTGCAGCCCCCAGTAGAAGGGACATCCTACTTCAAGATCATGGATTGGTGAGTTTCTTGTTTACCTTAACATATGCCACCATCTTAAAAAGTTTCCCAAATGAATCCAGTCCATTCATTTTATCATGTGTTACATTTTTCAGTGACTACACATTCACACTGGACACACAAAAGCTGCAGAAAACATACTTGCAGCTCCAGCGGTCTCTTCATCCAGACAACTTCAGCCAGAAATCTGTGGTAGGCAGGGGGAATGTAAGGGGAATAGAGATCTGCTGACTGAGATGGTCTGTGAGTCAGAGAACACTTTCCTTTCTATTAGTCGCCCTGTGACACAGGAAATTGGGTCTGACCCCTTCTCCCCATTTGTCCACTTGTGTGTGCATTTTTGTTTTGTCATGATAATTCATTGTGACTTGACCATGGGAGTAACTCTGGGCAAAGTAAGAAAGATGGGCTTGTTAAAAGACACTGACAAATGTAGGGCCTGGTTAGGGAACTTGGTCTGTTTTAAGCTACCAAGCAAGCTCAATTCATAGGAAGCAAATTTAAGGAGTTGTAGATGTGTAGATGAACAAGCATTTGTTTCTCAGGGAAAAGAAAAAAGAGATATAAAAATTGTGAAAAATGGAAATGGCGTATAAATGGACGAATCTAGTAATATAAACAGCTTTACATGTTGAATTGCATCAGTGTAGCTGAAGGGATTCATGGCTGCTTATTTCAGCTATAAAAACCAGGAGGCAACTCCAGTAAGCCAACATGACTTTATGTTATTTATGCTGATAATTAAACTAGTGCTTTTCCTGCTGTGAAATGTAAAAGTGCCTACTAGGACCTGCGTTCCAAAACATTTTATATTATAACTGCAAAATCCAAAATAAGAAAAACAGAGGTATATTAAATATATTAAATATTTATACAGGTTAAGAAAGCAAAAGTTAACTTTGGTTTAGAAAGTTTTCATTCAATTACTCATCTTGCCTTATTAATGGACACTTTGTAACTCCTACCAGGATAAAAGGTTTCATCACAAGCTGCTAAATTGTGACTTAGGAGTCTATTTGGATAGATTAGGGAAAGTAAGTAGCTGAGATTGTTCCCCTGAAAATAATAGAGTGAAAATAGGGGGTAAGATCTTGTGACTATTAAGATGTTTTATATGCAGAGTATTTTCTTTATTAGTCAAATAAATTTGGACGGTTTGGCTTAATAAGATCACTGAAACAATTACTTCATTGTCAAAACAGTCCTGATTGTGTTTGTGTATATTGACCCATTATTTAAACTCTAATTACACTAAGGAAGGTCCATGTCACCGTCTTTTTAATTTGGCCTCTGTACACCACCAAGGTAGATTTAAGATGTTTAAAACGGTCAAAATTACACTGAAATGCAAACCATTGAATCAAAGTAAATTTGATTCAATGGGTTTAATACAAAGTATTGCATTACCCGCTTTGGCATTTTCAGATGCTCCTAATTGGACAGTTGATTGACAATCACAGTCATGGTGAGGCTGAGGTTGATTCCTTGTGCATTTTATGAAACTTTATGTAGATATAATACCTGACATTCATTCAAAGTTTTGAACTAATATCTAGTAGATTTTCACTGGAGATCTTAATATGATGTCAGATTGCTGCGAGTAAATAGGGTCACCATAATACTGAAAAAAGAAAAGGGAAAATTAGGAAAGCACTGGCCAGCTGAATAACACCAAAAGCCTTGATGGACCAATATAAGGCAATTATAGTAGATGGATTACAACAAGACAACACCAACAAAACACTGGTTACACTCAAGAACAAGGAAGTCATAATAGGAAGAGAAATGGCTCATCATCTGCCAAACATGGTAGATGCAGTGTTATGGGAGGGACATAATATGCCCCACAAGTGTTTACTGATCAAGCGACCGCTACCAGAAGCAGCAGGATGTATTCTCAAGTGTAGTTTCTGCTCACGTTCACCCGAATACAGCAAATCAGGCAGCACATAACAGATAAGCATACTGCAAACGCAACCCAAGAACTTCTCAAGGCAAAAGAATGGGATAATCTTCAATGGCCAAGTGAGTCACCCGATCTCAACATAGAAGAGCATGCTTTTCAGTAAATGAAGATAAAACGGAAAGGAGAGACGTACAAACAAGCAGGAAGTGAGTAGTTAAGACTAGCAGAGGGTCTCAATGGGAGAAACAGCATTTGGTGATGTCCGTGTTTTCTGGACTTCAGGCAGTCATCAGAAGAGAATTTCTGTCCACGTATTAAAAATCGTTCTCATATTTAAAGTTATATCATCAGTTTTCCAAATTTTTTTGTGCCTTTGTTTAATCTAAAATCCACTGCAGTGGTGTACAGTAGCACGGCAGTATTTTTGTTTTGTTTGTTTTTTCCCCCCAGCTACAAATAGGATGATATTGTCTATTGCTCTGGAAGAGTTTTGACAAGTTGAAGAAAAATGACACAATTTTGCTGTGATGTCATCAGGGGTATTTCAGCTTGTGCTGAGAGATGGCAAATTTAGAGTTTGAAAGATAAAGATATGTACCAAGTGGAGAGGATATCTTGGAAAAAACTATCACTTGCAATATTTTTGGAGATTTAGCCATAAAAAAGCCAGGAAATGTCACTCTGTGACATACTTTTTTTTTTTTTGTCCATCAAAAATTAATAAGGAGCAGCATGTAGGACTAAGGCTGGGATTCTGTTCCCTTTAGACGAGCACGCAGAATGCAGCTAACTTTAAGGTTATATAATTATATAGCTTTGGTTGTTCATTTGTTTAAATTTTTTGCTTTAAAATCCAATTAGCTTTCATTTAGTTTCTAGATTGTTGTTTTCTAAATTTCAGAATATTTAGTTGTAATTAATTTTTTGTCAGTTATATTTAAAGGATATTTAACAGGTAGCAAATTTCTGATGTAATTAAGTTATGTAAATATCCAAGACTCAGCAAATATACGAACCAGTGCCTTCTCATGCTTGATGTTTTGACAAACTCAGCCAAATTGAGTCTGACAATGACAAATGTACAGGTAAAATCGCATAGTGGCTGGGCAGAGAAGTTCCACAGGCAAAATAAATGGTAGGTTATGTAACTGCAGAAGGCAGAACACCTATATTAGTGTCATCGAGCACAGAGGGTGTAGTTTGCAACAATATGACTACCCCTCACCTTACTGTTTGTTTGTTTTTTTTTGTTTTTTTTGTTTTTTGGGGGGGGGGTTGCATCATATTTTTAGCTTAGCATACACCAGTGTGCAAACACTAATTTAATACTGAATGTTCTTTTCTTACAATAAATCCTGTACAATGGACATTTAAGAGTTCCATAACTTTGTGAAGTAAATACTAAACCACTAGAGATCTTTTTTCCATGAAATAGACAATAAAAGGAAAGCAGTTTAATTTAGGAAAGAAGTCTGATGTTTTCTTAATCTTTGCTTTTGTAAATTGTCACTTCCTTTAGTTAAAAAAAAGAATTTTGTGTCAGGTTTGAGGTTCCTGCCAAATCTTATTGAGCCCACAGCTCATTTACGGTGAGACTGTAAGGTTGATCACTTGCCTAACAATTCCACATAAAGAAATAAGGCTTGTCCCAGTGCATCCGTTTTAATGTGTTAGATGTTATTTTACAATGTGGTAAATAGTGTTAAAGCTCCCCATTTTCCATTTCCCCCCTTGTAGATCATTAAGAGAAATGCCTGGCAGTTTACGAGAATAAGCATTATGAATGCAAGATGGAGAGGAGATGTATTGCTTTGGGTGTAATTTATTCTGTACACTCAGGTGGAAACGCGAAAGGCAGAATGTTGTCATGATATGATATGAAAGCTAAACTCATATTCAGCAGAATGCGAGAGAGGAGAGGTCGCCTAAATTGTTTCTTTATACACAACCTGTCAAATATTGTACGGAATCTGTTTTATTTATCACCACCTCTGGTCATTTTTTTCTTAATTAGACATCTTCCACCCTCAGGGGTTTGCATCATATATAGAAAAGTCATTACTTACATGAGGCAGCCACCTACTGCATTGGTTGTTATTAGAGAAACAGCCTCACACGATGGGCCCATGGGTCAGAGCTTCCGACTATTGATTTTCACCAGAGCCGACAGACCTGATAGCTGCAAAATATTCTCAGATCTGCCAACCATTTCGGAGCTCTCACCCCCGCTCCCACCCAAACCTCACATCTTGTTTCCGCGCATTTGTCATGTCAAACTCGCACCTGCATCTCCTGAAGGGTCCCAAACTGCTTGACTGCAAGAGTTGATGCATGTCATACAGATAATTATCAGTATCATAAAGGTTTTTGACAATGCTATAGATTGCGATTGCAAAGTGTAAAATCACTCACATTTTCTGTGAATATTGTAAAGGTTCATTCTTTCAAATCCATAGAAATACAAATAAAAACAAAACATTATAATACAGTCTTTCTTTTCCTTTTTAATAAATGATTTTGGATTGAACTTGCTATGCTTAGAAATAATCCTAACACAACACATCCTTCTTTTGCAGAAAGAACAGGAGTATTCAGAAAGGCAGTCTGCTCTCGTTAACAAAGCATACCGCACTCTGCTTAAGCCTTTGAGTCGTGGTCTTTATATGGTGAGTTTCAAATCTCTGATTTAACTTGTAGCAAAATACGTAATTACAAGGTCTGTCTGTGTGATCACATGTTCGTCACCATTTGGCAGTCAAGACTGGTGTCTTACATCTAAAGGAGCAACCTTTGACAGATTCCCATCATATGTTTCAGCTGGAACTAGAGGGAATGAATATAGAAGAGGGCACAGACTCTGGAGCTGATTCAAATTTTCTAATCAAGCTAATGGAGATTAATGAGGCCCTCGATGAAGCACAGACTCCAGAAGAGGCCATTATGATTGGCCGAGATATAAAAGGTAAACAAGTTGTTATTTTAACATTACTTAAGTAGATTTCTAGCAAGCCGTTTGCCTAATGTAGCAAAAGTGGATGTATAAAATACAATTTTCTGCATGTCAGATGTATCTACTTCAGTCTCAATCATCAATTATTAAAGTGTGAGACGAGAATCACTTAATGGCTGAACTGCACACATGCTTGATTTTAAGGGTTAAGGTTGCAATCCCTTAGATTTCAGCTCTGGTCTATCTGGAAACACCTGTGGTTTCCATAGTAACCTCAAGTGCAGTGTAGCACTACATCTAACACTCCTCAAGGAGCTACTCTTGTCAGATATACAACAGAGAAGCAAGGGATTTACCCATTTTCACAGCAACCAAACAGACCAGCACTGGTGGAGTGCATATGTAGGCAGATTGAATTCAAGGTGAGAATGACACGAACAATGAAATATAGTAAATGAAAAGGTCATTAAACACTGAATACACAGTAATTACTCTGAATCATTAATGCAGAATAAATACAAAAAATGAACAGGATAAAAAAAAAACTGGATTATGGAAGAATGTACTCGTGTCCCAGGAGTGTGAGCAGCTTTGAATTTCTCATTGTGATTCAAAACTGCTCACGCTGAAGGTGTCACAAGAAAAACATTTTTAAATGTCAATTGTAGTGCAAAACGCTCAGCATAATGTATGTCTGTTTGCTACTGCAAGCGGCTTTATACATGGCAGACAGCAGTCTCCACATGCCGCTTTCTATTAGTCCTTAAAGACAATGTCCCTATACAATTGTTTTGGATTTTTCAAACAGAGCCAGTTGCTGGTTGATGGAGCAGATACAATTGTGTGCCTTCAGATTCAATTCAGTGTAGCTCGCATCATGCCGCATGTGGCAGAACTCGCAGATTTTGATGAGTTTTTATTGAGCTTAAGGATGATTAAAATTTAACCTTGTCTCTGAAGAGGACAAACCATAGGATATTAGGAAATGTGCTTGTCCAATGGGAACAGTTTCACTGGCTACAGTAATTTTCAATTTGCCCCCAATTTTACATAACAAATGACCCATTACATTACAGAAACAGTCATAATTGCCTCCCAGTAAAGTCAGTACGTGACAGACTTACCTATGTGTATAGAATCTGTACAGTTTCTAAGTAGATCTCTTCACTGTGAATAAACAGCACCACGTGTGGGGTATGTTGTAAACACGTGCAGATATAGAACTTGCCTTTTCCTTACCTGCAGGAAAACTGGCAGACTTGACAGTGCATATAGATGCTGCTCTTCGTAAAGGTAATAATATTCAGATGCTGCTTTGAAACAGTGTCTACTCCTCCCACTCATTCCTCTTTGTGTGTTTTGTAATCGAGTTGAAGCTTCCCTTTAAGTCACTGAGTGAGTCATTGATTAAACCTCCTTTTTCACCCTCTTTCTTTCTTTTTCAGGAGAGCTACAGGCTGCCAAAGCAATACTTGTCCACATGAAATACTATGCAAACATTGAAGAGAAAGTAAAGGAAAAACTTTCAGAATTCCTGTAGTTTTCTCACTATTTAAACCACTTTATGAAACATTTTTGACACTTTAAAAAATTCTATACAGAACAGCACAATCTATTGTACATTTATCTTGGGAGCATGTAATGCTATTTTTAAAGCTAAATAATAAAACTTTACTTGTAATGCATTATCTACAGTTGCATTAATGGTAATAATTGCTTTTTTTCAAATGAAAAACTATAGATATGTATCTGTAATTGGATGAGTACAATATCTCCCTTAAATTCCGCTAATTTCACAAGCCTAATCGTATCAACTTGTACCTAATATGTCATTAAATATGACAGAGATCTATAATTGGCTCTGATTAAAATGCTGCTCTGAGTGTTTATATGATTATCCTGCCTATCAGTTCAGCTTTTTGTCATGTGGGGCTCACACATAGACGAACGATCCCCACACAGTTCCTCGGAGTACCTTTAGGTGGAGACATAACACCTTAACAATCATGAAGAAAACCAATACTTGGTGTACAAGCCAGATATAGGACCAGAAGGAAGCCCTTAATTGAGGCGGACAACCTTATGAATTATTAATGGTTGTTTCACATGTCGCTTTAATGCTATGATAATCAGGATGACCCCCACTGAATGACGATTATTTGATGAACCTAAGATTCCTGCTCTGTCATTTATAGCTCATAAAATTAATGTAAATAGCCCCTGCACACCTGTGCCAGCAGCGTACTGGTACATGCATCAGAATGCAAATTCATGCACCTTCACATACACATGCTTTCATTTTTCATTTTTTTTTAATGTAATAGAGAAAAATCCTCATAATTTTGTAATTACAAATGGGAGTTCAAATCACATGTAGAAAGATACTGATAGAGATGTAACTACTCTGGCATATGTGGTGAGGCACTTCATCTGAGAGAGCCATTAGATCACATATCCTGTGAAAAATATCATTTGAGATATACTAGGATCACACACTAAACTGTATGTGTATGAGTAGTTTTACTCTTTTTTTTTTTTTCTGTGTGTGACAGTCCTCCGGAACATCCTACTGTAACACATCCTGACTGGTGGTTTATCAAGTCTGGAACAACAGTGTCATACGTCTGAGGCTGTTTGGGTTTTTTAAAGTATGGCGAAGCAGTTTCCTTAATGCACATGGATAGACAATGAATTAAACAGCAACTACGGTGCCTTTAAATTAATGAGAAAATGTGATCGACTAACAGGGAGGCCACTGCTGTCTCCCAGAAGTTGCTGAAATTGAGTTTGAAAGAGAAGAAAGAAGGGGAAAAAACTCACTACAGGCGAGCTGTGAAATTGACTTGGATGGGATGGCTTGGCAAAGGACCTAGGTACATGTGACCACTGTGCAGCTTCTGGAATGAGTTAGGTCAGCTTCAGGCGCACTACATAATGTGCTGCTGCTGATGGAGTGTTTACTAGTTATGCTGCACTGGTTTAATCCAACTGTTATATTGAGGTCTACATGACCCAGGACATAGAATTCCCCTTAGTTACTGTAATGGTTGTACATCTGGCAAAATAAGCTTTTTGGATTTCAAGATTTCGATGACATGGGAAGATACCGCTGTTATGTGTGGTCACTAAATATGAAGTTCCAGCCTGTAGCTCAGGGGTGTCAAACTCAAATACACAGTGGGCCAAAATTTAAAACTGGAACAAAGTCACGGGCTAACATTAATATTTATTGAAAAAAAATCTTCCTCCAGATATAAGAATGAATCTTTTCTTATGGACTCAAACAAGTTTTGCTGAAAAACTGAATATGGAACAAGCAAAGCTTAATACTAAACAATATATATATTAGCTGTATAATACCAGTAGGCCAGCTCTAATAGTAATTTGGTATGGCTTTGCGGGCCAAATTTGGCCCGCGGGCCAGAGTTTGACACCTATGCTGTAGCTGGTCAGCTTAACTAAAGGTTTTCAAGAAAAAAGTAGTGCAAACTTGGCATCTCCCAGGTATTTGTCTGATCAATTTTTTAAAGAAAATTTTTAAGCATTGTTCAGTTATCTAATCTAGAATCACCAGTCACATGTGACACAGTTTTATATATATATTTTAAATTCAGAATTGTGAATTCTACCTTTTTTGTTTTTGTGAAATTCTCTCACATTTAAAATTTTAAGACCCATGTCTCTTTTTTCATATCTCCGAATTAGCATATAGGGGTAAAAGAAGAATAGCTATCCTGGTTTTGTCCCAAAGAAATACAATTAGCTCGCCATCGCCTTTTACTTCGGCCCTCAGTGTTTTAATCCTCAGAAAATACCAGTGTACAGTTTAACTAGATGATATGTTCTGGATATGTACTTGCACAGTGACAGCACATAGACTGTTACTTTGATTCGATTCCAAAGCAACAGAAGGCAATGTGTCTCTTTTCTCCCCCAAATTTATGCAAGTAAAGTTAACTGGCTCCTGGCTATAGTTTAATACTTAAAGGATGCACATACAAGCAGTGTTGGTCAAGTTACTTGAAAAAAGTAATCAGTAACTAATTACTGATTACTTCCCCCAAAAAGTAATCCCATTACTTTACTGATTACTTATTTTCAAAAGTAATTAATTACTTAGTTACTTAGTTACTTTTTAAAAACATGATTTACTTCCTGAATAGGAGATAAAGCGATAGATCTTTCAGCCTAATTCTACTTTTTCTACATAATCCATCATACAAAATGTAATCAAATGGAAAAGTCCCTTTTTAAAACTTGTTTTATTAGTTTTAATCTTTTAACTTTATGCATGAAGCAAAAATTTAATTATATGCAACATTCTCTGACTGGAAGAAATTTGTTTAATATTTAAACTTATCTTCTGCACATTCCAGCACATAAAATATTTTTTTGTGTCTGTGTGTTAACACTCACTCTTTCAAATAGATGCAAGTAAAACACAGCAGAAAATAAATAAAGTCAAAGACTCAGCGGTCCTTTTGCTCTATTTTCACCTGTAAAGCAGGAATAGGGTGGGCGGAGGTTTACCCTGGTGTAGGTGTGCCACAGCGGTCAGTGGAAGAATCCACGAGTTTCTCTGTGAATTTCCCATTACGTCATAGCGCACTCGGTGTTTGCT